GCACTGAAATGACACCGTGTCTGCGATGTGCTTCTAGGAAGAGGTGAAGGCGGCTGGGATTGCTGCTAACTGCAGTCGGATGATGGACGTGAACGGAAGTTCCAAACGCTCCTTTGACAGATGTTTTAAATTCTTATGACAGGCTGAAAAAAAAAAAATCCCCTGCAAAGTTCTGATTAGCCCTTAAGGATAAACACCTAGTATGATTGCAGTGTCAATGATGATATGGAGGTTTCCAGAAAGTTCCAGAACATAGAGCTGGAGGGACTGCAGGGGTCACCCAGTCCAAGCCCTGCCTTAGACAGGACTTCCACCACCTGCAGATACATAGCCTTGAAACAAAGCCAAGGCTCCTTCCTCCCCGTGCTCCTGTTTGTGTAATGGGCCTCACTTGACTGAAAAACCTGCCAAGGATCCCAGAAGGCCACTTCCGCCAGTCCATCTTCCCGGTGAAGTTTTAATAGTTTTAATGGCCCGTCTCTCTGTCTTCCCCGTCTGGCAGCCCTTCCAGTCCCGCGGCAGCTATAGCTTCCTGGTCTGTGGCATGATCTTTGGTTGCCTGGCTTTTACCTTCTATATCTTGCTCCTGTTTTTCCACAGGATGCACCCTGGGCCCTCATCAGGTAAGGGCAGAATGTGCTTCTACACAAGAGGAGGAAAACAGTGGGGGAGGATGGGGCGAGGCCGTGGAGCGTAACCTGCCAAGAACGGTGTTCTGTTCCAAGTAAAATGCAAGGAAATGTTTATTTTTCTACAGTTTCCTTTTCCCCAATTCCTGCTTTCCATGCAATTGTCTGTGCTGGACTCTTGTGGCAGGCAGGAGCTAGACAGGCTGACTCACGGCTTCTCTGTTAGTAGAGGGGCATGGGTTGAACTTGGCTTCCTGCATCCCACCCTGCCAGAGAGCTGAGGGCCAAGAACCTCTTTCTAGCCTGTTCAGGCACCGACAGGCAGGGCCTGCCTCCTTGGCTGGAACTCGGCCCAGCAGCCTAATTGGCCATCTCTTTGCAGTTCAGGATTTTGACTCTAATCCAAAAATCCAAATCTCTTTTCAAAAAGAAGTCCTTTGGGCCAAGTGGCAAAAGAAAAAAAATATTGATTCAGGGTAGAGACAACTCCTAAGAATACTCTCCTTCCTGGAGACCCCAGGCAGGGTGACTCCCACAGCTATTTTGTACCCCAGAGCCCTCATCCGCCCTTCCTCCCAGAGCTCCCCCATGCCAGAGACTACAGCTGTGCACGGAGCAAGTTTGTAAGGTGCTCAGGCAGAGCCCTCACACTCCCCAGAAAAAAGCACACTACTACAGAAACCCAGAAGGGACAGGCATCGCCATCCTCTTTCTTACTGGGTGGACATATCCACCATTGCAATGCTCAGTGTGAAGGCCCAGGGTGGGGGCACACTTCCACTAACTACGGCCTCATTTCTGGGAGGGCAGGTACTGGCTGCTGCCTAACCCAACATGTGGTGCTCAGCTCTGTTTTAGACAAATATTCAATTAATATTTTCTGAGTAGGGACAGCCGGTGGGGTGGTGGCTAAGGCACTGGATCCCACATGGCTAACTTCACGGTTCAAGTTCCAGATCTTTTTTTTCTTTTTTTTAAGAGGTTCTTGCTATAGGGCACGTGCACTTGCCAGAAAGAGAGACAGAGAGATGGAAAGTGAGAAATCACCCCCCAGGGGAATGGCCACGCCGCAATCCCTTCTCCTCTCGGGATCTTGGGCACACACACACACCTGGTGTGAGATTAAGCCACCGGGTCTGCGACTTGAACCATGGTCGGCTACATGGGAGTCCAGCGACATAGCCATTACACCAACTGCTGATCTCACCTTTTTAATATTCTCAGTAATGCTTAATGGGCTCTTTATTTATGGGAAGCACAAAGAAATACATATTCCCAAGTCCTAGACACTACTCTCAGCAAATTGCCTTCACCAATAGTTTGCTAGAACTAGTGGGTCTGACTTCTCGCTTCGCTCCCTAAGGAGCCACAGTATGGCCAAGAAACAAGTCTGGCTGAGCACTCAGAATGAATAATTGCTCCAAGTCATCATCCGCTGGTACATGCGAACTGGGTTTTTCTTCAATTTCTTCTGTAGCTTCTACCCAAGACAAACCACTTGGACTGGAAAATGCTGAGTCCTACCAGAGGTAAAAGCGTGTTGAGGAGAGAAGCAGAGACCTCCAGCTTCTCACACACCGCACGACCATACTGCGTAAGAAAGCCGCAGTCGGAGGTGGGGCGATCGCTCAAGGCCTTTGTTCAGATCTTCTCCTCTAATAAGGGCTGGGTAGAAGAAATTCCATTGAGCCCTGGCACTTGGGTCTTCCCAGGCAAATCATTAGAAATTTACCTGGCTATTCAAGTTACCTTCTCTTCCCTGGTTGACTTTGGTAAGAGCTTTCCAGAATAACAAGACGGAAGGGAAAAGACAGCCATCTTCCTTACTCCGTTTGCCGCTTCATGCATGGACCATACCCTGGGTTTGAGATCACCCTTAGTTGAAGTTTAAAAAAATAAGTAGTTCTGGGAGGGCAGGTACTGGCTGCTGCCTAACCCAACATGTGGTGCTCAGCTCTGTTTTAGACAAATATTCAATTAATATTTTCTGAGTAGGGACAGCCGGTGGGGTGGTGGCTAAGGCACTGGATCCCACATGGCTAACTTTACGGTTCAAGTTCCAGATCTTTTTTTTCTTTTTTTTAAGAGGTTCTTGCTATAGGGCACGTGCACTTGCCAGAAAGAGAGACAGAGAGATGGAAAGTGAGAAATCACCCCCCAGGGGAATGGCCACGCCGCAATCCCTTCTCCTCTCGGGATCTTGGGCACACACACACACCTGGTGTGAGATTAAGCCACCGGGTCTGCGACTTGAACCATGGTCGGCTACATGGGAGTCCAGCGACATAGCCATTACACCAACTGCTGATCTCACCTTTTTAATATTCTCAGTAATGCTTAATGGGCTCTTTATTTATGGGAAGCACAAAGAAATACATATTCCCAAGTCCTAGACACTACTCTCAGCAAATTGCCTTCACCAATAGTTTGCTAGAACTAGTGGGTCTGACTTCTCGCTTCGCTCCCTAAGGAGCCACAGTATGGCCAAGAAACAAGTCTGGCTGAGCACTCAGAATGAATAATTGCTCCAAGTCATCATCCGCTGGTACATGCGAACTGGGTTTTTCTTCAATTTCTTCTGTAGCTTCTACCCAAGACAAACCACTTGGACTGGAAAACGCTGAGTCCTACCAGAGGTAAAAGCGTGTTGAGGAGAGAAGCAGAGACCTCCAGCTTCTCACACACCGCACGACCATACTGCGTAAGAAAGCCGCAGTCGGAGGTGGGGCGATCGCTCAAGGCCTTTGTTCAGATCTTCTCCTCTAATAAGGGCTGGGTAGAAGAAATTCCATTGAGCCCTGGCACTTGGGTCTTCCCAGGCAAATCATTAGAAATTTACCTGGCTATTCAAGTTACCTTCTCTTCCCTGGTTGACTTTGGTAAGAGCTTTCCAGAATAACAAGACGGAAGGGAAAAGACAGCCATCTTCCTTACTCCGTTTGCCGCTTCATGCATGGACCATACCCTGGGTTTGAGATCACCCTTAGTTGAAGTTTAAAAAAATAAGTTGAAATTGTAAAGCTCAATGATCATTGCTATGTGTAGATACATTCTAATCAGCACAAACCCCAAGTGATTCCCTGGCATGCTCAAAGGGTTTATGTGCTTTTTACTTATGAATAGCCCAAATTCCCCAGGTTCCTACTGCAGGTATGGCCCGTTTATCAGTATTCTAAAACATCAAAAGGGAAAAAGATGAATCTTGCTATTTTGGGGGACATGAATTCAGTGGTATGCTGGGCTAGCCATTATCCATTTGGAAAAGTGATCGTTAACTTTTCATTTGGAGAGCTGGTTGTTAAAAAGACAGCCATTATTAAAAGCTAAGTTATATAAATGTCTAATTAAATTATATTAAAGACAAAAATCACAAATATTCAAAACTTAGCACTTCCTAATTTTCTTCTATTTATGCTCTGGAGGTTATTTACACCCACAGTATCTGTGCGGTGGAAATACTATATAAAGGTGAACTTCTGTGCCTCTCTTCCAACTCTGCTCTCAGTGACAGCATGTTGGAGGCTTGAGAGCAGCCACGGAGGGATATTTATACCATAGTAATTGGCAAAAGCCACAAACTATGGTTTCTTCCCCCTGAAGAGCCAGTTGTTAAATATTCACCAGCATATCACTGCTCATAATCAATGCTAATTGGTCCACAGATGGCCTGGGAGAATGAGATGGGTGTTGTTTTTCTTTACTGACATTTAGTTAGCATATAGAAAGTGTAAAATGGCATTAAGAATTTCCAAAAATATCTCATTTAAATTACACCTTTTATAGAAAAAAAAGGAAACTTTATACTGTATCAAGGTCTTTATCTGCACCAAAAAGCTGGAACTAGAGAACAATGCAAGCCGTGTAGGACACTGAAAACAGTGTCTGTCAAAGAGTGGCAGCTCCTGTCCAGAACAAATCATGCAGTACTGCAAAGAATGCACTCACTGCCTTAGACAGGGCTGAGTACCGAGACTTCTGAAGTCATGCAAAGGCTGTTACAGTGACTGTGTGTTGGTTTACTTGCACTTTCTCTGTGCATACATATGCATATGCACACGTATAAACCTGAACGTGAAGTGGCTCACGGTTCTCATAACCTGTCCCAGGGGCTGGGGTTCACATGCCCGACACCTGGTTTTCCCCGGGGCCTGCAGACACTGTCAAGTCAGCTGGCTCCATCCCCCAGCAACATGGTGTTGGTGTGAGTCTCTGGCTGGAGAGAGACCTGGCTTCAGCGCTGGCCTCACCTTCTAGCTGTGAGGCCCTGGGCAGATCACGGAGGTTGCTTCAAGCTCATTTTCTTCACCTGTAAAACGACACGTCTAAAAGTACCCTACCTCAAAGGCACTCTCCAAGACTGAAGTGAATTTGTGTAAAGCACTAACTATAGCTGCCTGACACAGAAACAGCTTAATAAATGTTAGCGAATTTTATTTTTAAAGCCTCCTTATAAGCAGTTTTAAAAATGGTTCGTATGTTTGGTACATATTTATTATAAATTAAACAGATCCAACTTCTTTCGAAAGCATGTGCAGGGGTGTAGCTTTAACTATGTCTGTCAACACAAGTATTAGATGCCAGCCGGAATTCTGTATGTGACCACTGGAGTGTGATGGACCTGGGCGAAGGGGAAGCCATTGTATTTTCCTAGTGGTTTTTCAAGAAAACATCCTTTTTATACAGATTTAGAAAGACGACTCAATGGCTGTGTCTAAGCTGATCATGATAATTTGTTAATATACAGAAGAAAATTAAAACAAATCTAAGAGTACCTTTCCTAAAATAAACTATTTTAAACTTAATAAGTGTGTTATCCATTATGAAGGACAACCGGTCCTCTTATATCAGAAACTCAGAAACCAGGCCTGCCTCATGGCTTTGTGGTCTAGTGGTTAAAGGAGCTGGATTCTCTATGGCTGTGGTTCAAATCCCAGCACCAGCAGCTTGAAAAAACATGCTGGGTGCAGGTGTGTGCATGCCTAAAATCCCACCAAGCTGGAGAAACAGAAGGGCTGTGGCACCATGCCCCATTGGGGAGTGCTTTCTCTCTCTCTCTTTTTCTCTGTCTCCCTGTGGTATAAAAAGTAAATAAAAGGTGCCAGCCATAGTTTGGTGGTTAAGGTGACTGGATGCCACACAGCCGACCACACAGTTCAAGTCCCAGACTCTGTGGCTTGAGAAACACACTGAACAAGCTGTGTGTGCGCCCAAAATCCTGAAAGAAGGGTGAAATGGAGAAGGGATTGTGGCGTGACCCTTCCCCATGTGGGGGGCTTTATCAGTCTCCATCTCTCTCTGCTCCCAGCCCCACTGGGAGCACACACACCATCTGGTGGGGGAAAAAATAAAAAGAATGGAAAAACACCTCAGAAACAAGTGACTATCCAGGCTCAAATGACTGCCAGTAGGTGCACCTGGCTGATAATTAGAAGAAGCAACACCGGGACAAGCAGTTAGCGTAATGGCTATGTCACTGGACTCCCATGTAGTTGACCACAGTTCGCATCCTGGACCTGGTGGCTTAAAACTCACGCCAGGCGTGTGTGCGTGCGTGCCCAAGATCCCAAGAGAATGAAGAAGGGATTGTAGCATGGACATCCCCCCCTGGGGGACGATTTCTCTCTGTCTCTGTCTGGCAAGCACACACACCTTATAGCAAAAACCTCTCAAAAAAAAAAAAAAAAAAAAAAAAAAACAACACTGACAAAGACAAGAAAAAAAAAAAAAAAAAAAAAAAGCAACACTGTCACAGACAGGAGGGCCAAGAGTCATTATTCCTTCTTACACACAAGGGGTCTTCAAATACTTCAAGACAATGTGTATTGGGGAGAAAACTGCATGGATTTCATCTTTTCGCTGTGTGTAGCAAAATGATTCCATTTTTCTATGAACTTTTTGAAGCCCCTTCATATAACAAGACTAAGAAGACAGACAGGCTCTGACACACTTCACCGTCAGTGCCAGACACGTGGGGCTTCTTCCCGATCTCCTTTGAGTGTTCTGACTTTCAGAGTGCTGTAGGTTGCCCTATTCTGAGTCCCCTCTGCTACTTGGACATGGGGACCTAACCCATCTCCATGCCCAGGTCACTAAAGGAAAACCCATGACAGGGAAGTGCTTTATCCATTCTCTGAGCACCTGCTATGTTCAAAGCACTGCTGTGCGTGCAGGCAGACAGCTGTGGATAAGGCGGACGGCCCTGCCTCACAGGGGTTAGTCCTCCCCTGACTAGTGCATGATGAGGCCATGTAAGGCTGGAAGACCTTGAGAGTGCTCAGGAGTTCTGTCTGGACATGACCACTTCACAGTATACTACGCCAGAGGTCAAGGAACTGTCAGATATAGAAGTCTGGAGCTTAAAACGGAAGTCAAGGCCCAAAGTACTAACTCAGGGGTCCCATACACACAGAGTTTAAAGTCAGGGATTGAATGAACCCACCTCAGCGACTAGAGACGGATCAGGAGATTAAGCCCTGGGGTTAATATCTAAAAAGTTTGGAAAATGAATAGGGTTCAAGAGCAAATGAGAGAGAAGGCCAGAGGAGGAGGAGGAGGAGCTCACAGGAAAATACGGGTTCCGGAAAGGCACAGTAAGAGTATCTCAAGGAGGAGAAAGTAATCGGTGATGCCAAGGGGTCCAGTGACTGGTCTTACCACCAACCACTGGGTGGGGATCATGGAAGGCCACGCTGACTAGAGAGGAGTTTCAGCTAATGACGGTTGCCTATTCAAAACATGGGAATCATGCCGGCAGGTTGTGTGATTAAGATGGCTGGATCCCACGTGGCCCACTTCATGGTTCAAGTCTTGGACCTGGTGGCTTGAGAATCACACCGAGCCCATCATGCATACCCAAAATCCCAGAAGGAGAATGGGGAAGGGCCATCCCTCCTGGGAGTGATTTCTCACCCACTCCCACCTCCCCATCTCTGTCTCTCTCTGGTGAGTAAGCACACTCTACGGCAAAACTGAAAAATCAAAAACAAAAACGAAAAAAACAAAAAATACATGGGAATCATAAAACCAACTCTGACGCTCTGGTAACCTTCTTACCCCAATGCCTGCCATTTGGCCTGTAGAGATTATCACACCCGTTTCCATACACTACTGTCTCATTTGAGTTATTCCAAATAACTTTATTGTTCCTTTCATGGACTCACTTCAGGAACCCTAGGAAATGACTCCATATTAATGTCATTAGATGCATCTATAAAACACATAAAGTACTTGCAAAATAGACATGCCTTTTACAAGGGGAAGTGTCAAAAGTAAGAAAGATTAGAAAATGGTGGCTTAAACAGGCTTGTAAACTGAAGAAGTGGAGCTTTCTGGTATATATAAATTATCATTTATAAAAACTTATTTATTGGGGCTAGTAGATGTGTAGTGGTTACGTTGCTGTACTCCCACATGGCTGACCGTGGTTCGAGTCCTGGACCTGATGACTTGAAACTCACATTAGGCACATGGGTATGCGTGCCCAAGATCCCAGGAGGAGAATGAAGAAGAGATTATGGTGTGGCCATCCCTCCAGAGCGTGATTTCTCACTTTCCTTTTCACTCTCTCTCTCTGGTGAGTGCATATGCCTTAAGGCAAAAAAAATAAATAAATAAATAAATAAAATAAAAAAAACCCTCTTTAAAAAAGTTTATTTCTTCTATGAGACAGACAGACATACAGATAGACACAGAGACACTCACTCCCAACAGGGTCCACAATCCAGCTTTAGCCAACTCCAGTGATGGGTACACTTGTGCCTAGCCTACTCAGGGATGTCTCTGGACATGAACCTAGAACCTTCTCATGTGGGTCAGCTTTGTAGAGAACAGGATGCGGTTGCGGTTGCGGGCCACTACCCCCACTTGGCCCAAGGGCTTGGAAACTTTAATATTCTCAAATGTATCTTGAATCTCCTAAAAGTGAAGTCGATTGCGGTTTGAGTCCTGGACCCGGTGGCTTAAACTCACACTGGGTACATGTATGTGCGTGCCCAAGATCCTGAGAGGAGAATGGAGGAGAAGGGATTGTGGTGTGGCCATACCCCCTGGGGAGTGATTTCTCCCCTTCTATCTTTCTGTCTCTCTCTGTCTTTCTGGAGAGTGAATGCGCCCTATAGCAAAAACCTCTCCAAAAAAAACCCCAAACAAACAAAAAAAAAAGGAAAAGAAAATATAATACACAGAGACAACCTCACTGGATGTGAGAGGTGGGAAATGAACGTGACAACCTCAGAAGATAATTTTGTTAAAAATATTTATTTAAAAAAATACAATTGCCCATACCTGGTTGCACATATATCTATTAACATACCCATATAGTTTTGGACTTTAGTAAATTTGCTACAGTGCTTTCTTAAAGCCAGCTTGAACGATACCAAAAAAATTCCTATCAGTTCTTACATAAAATAGTTTTTCTAAATGTATCATCTTTCTTCAAAGATACATATCACCATCACAGAATTTAATAAGATTTTTGCATAAAAGTTGGGACGTGATAGAAAAAACGATCACCTGCTTGGTTATTCAGAACAGCCCCACTATGTCTGGAGATGCACTGAGTACAGGCTACACTTTTTTCTCTGAGAAGCAGCATATAAAGCCCTCAAAGTGCTAGCACATCCTTTGCCCCACCTACTTCAACTGTTGGTCTCTCTGCCGCAGAGAACTCAAGAACTCAAGTTCTCTCAACAGAGAGAACTCAAGGCTCTGGCTGCAGCTGTCCTGCAGCTAAATCGACGTCCCTACGTTTCCTCCAGGTAAGTCGGACTGCTCGGCTGAGTGGTGTGGTGGTTCCTCTCCAGCTGTGTCAACACCTGTGTGAATGTTAACAAATATTGGCAGTTTCTTCTTCTTTTTTTTTTTTTTAAGAAAGCAAAACAGGTGACTTTAACACTTTGAAAGTCTCCTTCGTAATTTAACTGGGGAGGTGTGCACTTGGCATTATGTAGGTATCTAGTTACAGGAGGTGGCTACCAGATATCAGGAGATACAAGGTTTCAATAAAATAAACAAAGGGGAAAATAAACAAGAAAGTACCTGTCTCCTCAGCAGAGAGCACTGGGGAAGACCATCTGACAAGTTATTAGCACATATCCAAACTAGGACACAAACAGTTATACTTCTCCCCGGTGTTAACCTGGTGAGAGAGATCCTGTAAGTCCTACAGCAGGCGGGGGCTTCTCTTCTCAATTACAAGTCAGCTGGATGAAAATCAAGAGTTTCTTATTTAGTATCATTCAATTGTTAAGTGATACCCACATATGATAGTTCACAAAATGCCAGTGCCACCATGGTTAAACCACCTGGCATGCGGGCTTTAAAATAATCCAATCTACAGTTATTTCCCATTAATCACACATATGGTTGCCTCTAAGGAGGGGCCTTCTTTTTTCTTCTTCTTCTTCTTTTTTTTTTTTTTAAAGATCCAATAGGGTAATGGGAAATTATTAGTTTGTTCTTCAAATTGCAGTTTTATGTTTCTTTTTTTTTTAAAGCCAACTTGATTATTTGATGAATAAAAGGCATACTTCGAAACATTATTTCAATGAAAAATTTCATGCACCTCAAACCAAAGTTAACCAGTAGCGAAATGACTGGACTGTGGTGCACATTTAACCTTCCCTACCCACAAAGATAGATGAAACTGCCAGAAGGCAAAAGTGAAGAGACGGAGGTGATTCTGACTGAAAGACCTGGGGCTAAACCAAACGAACAGGCCTGGAGTAGTGACAAGTTACCGTACTCATCGCTCAGCCACCTCGACACATGTGCATCTTAATTTCACTAATACTGATACTGCACAGGGGCTTCAAAAAGATGCTGCTCATCACATCAACAATGAACGTACACAAAGGCCCACAGCAATACTGGACCGAAAAAAACAAATGAAATGTTTTTGAAGAATGGAAGAGACCGTATCCTCTACATAACAGACAGTATGTAACCATGACTTAGAAAAAGAAACTTAAAATGGGATACTTTACAGATTTAAGTGTAATCTATCAATTGCAAATCATCCTTAAAAATCATTAAGTTTCTACAAAGCACAGCATTAGAAGCTAATAAAATACTTTCCAACATCCTAGCCCACGGAGCATACCTGACAGAGCCTACAACAATGACTCATTAGGTAAGCCACTTAATGCCTTCAAACACTCTTGAGTTCCAGAAAATACAAATGAGAAATAAACTTTACTTTCCTGACCCCCACAATCCATACATTGAAAATAAGGGCAAAAATCATTAAGTGCTTCCAGTTATTAAAAACAAAACAGTGCTGATAATGGTGCCTGACAAAGTGCCACGTGAATTCACACCAGTACACGGCATTCCCACCCTGAACTCTAGGCCTATTCCACAGCTTCACCTCTGGGCCCGCCAAAGGCACCCCCGGCTCCACCCTGCTCCCCTTCCAGGAGGTCCCAGGCCTGTCTGAGCATGGCTCATACACCTCGGAAGGGACAAGAGCCAGAACGAGCCTCTAATAGAGAGGAGCAAGACAAAGTGGAGAAGTCCATTCAGCCTAAGAGACTACTTTGAGGTTTCCGCTAATGCTAATTATGTACAGTTTAAAAGCATAAGTTAGGCCACAATGCTGGAATTCCTCCACTGTAATGGCAATCGTGGTCAAATGTCTAGAGTTTTAGAAATATTATTTCTAGAACAGACTTCCTCTCTGAGAAACTCACAGCCCAACCTAATAAAGATTTTACACAAAAGCAAAGGTAATTGTAGAAATGTTAGGAAAAGACATCCGTATTTGCCCAGTAATACTGTTAGGAGAACAGTTAAGGGTGACTTTGTTTAATTTGACTATGTCACATGTGAGAGCTATACTTCTAAAATGTTGGCAAGCAATTAGTCTTTAAGGCCTATGCTTCTACGTATTTTTAAAAAATTGAAATGTGCAAGGCAGTAATTTTCTAAAAGTGGCATCTGCAAGGTGCAGCAATTTTCTTTTTAAAGTTTTAGTATAAAATAGTCTAAGAGCCATCCGAGTCTAAGGATGAATAATATATGTTCCCTCTGAAAAATAGATTTACTTAGTCATTTACACACTCAGTGTGTATACATCAGTGCATACACATACACACACACACACACACACACACACACACACACACAAACTCAGCTAATAAATCAGAGTGACTTGGAAAGAAATGTTCTAGTCTCCCAATTAAATCTTTCAAAGGAAAGTTTTTAAACCTTCTTGATATGTACTCTACTCAAAAGATTAGCATTCAAGAGACTTACTGTTTGTATCCCTCATGAATTTTCAGGTTAAAAGTTTCATTTCAAATCATGTTAACGACAGCCTGGGTTTCTTGGTTTCTGCAGAAATCAAGTACTTTCCCTCAGAGAAGTCAGTGTGGATTTCCACCTTTCACACAGGGGAAGCTGAGTGTGGCAGCACTGAGGAATTGCTACATTCTGGCAGGCTATCAGTCTGTTGCAATTGTTTTCAGGGAAATAGCCTGAAGGAACGCAGAGCTTCAGATGGAACACTACCTTACCAACAGTTCACCTTTGAGATCTGCTGTTCACAGGTCAAGACATGATTCTTACCGTAACAGGTTCTACCAAGTAAGAGAAGTGAAATCAAGCCGCCTTCTTTTCCTGCTTAATGCACCACCGCCCACAAGAACTTTAGATTCGAAGATTAAAACTTCAGTAAGCAGAGTTCTAATGACAAAGAGGAGTAACAGGGCACCCGATTTCAGGCAGTGCTAGTGGGATTAGAAACAGTAACAAAACATAACTGGTTAATCCCAAAGCAAGAAGATGAAATAAACACTCTCCATAGAACCCATTCTCTGGCGAGAGCACCTGCTGAGAAAAGGCGATGCTGGGCGACTTCCACCTCACTGACCTGTGGACAGAACAACTCGCTGCTCAGTTCCGTTTCAGAAATGTTAACAATACAGCCTGTCATGCCCTAAGATAGTCTAGTAATTCATTCAGAGCCCCAGGTTTCTGCAGAGAGCCTCGTGCCCATCTCCATAGTTGTTTCCATACCTGAGAACAGCACCTCAGACACTTCGAGATTCCTAGCATGGGTAAATAAGTCATATATAGTAAATGATATAAATAAAGCAGATCAATAAAGACTAGTATTCCTTCAGGTGCTGAAATGTCTCACACACACACACACACACACACACACACACACAAAATCAACAACATATTAACGTGGTAATAAAAAAATGGAAGCTGTTACATATTTAACCTAAAGCAACTGAAAATTAATTCTTAACTTGTTGGTAAAATTTAAATTTAAGGCCAAACAAGTTTGTAAGCAGACTAAAAAAAATAAACCAGAGCCATACCTAATAGCAAGATGAAGAGGAAAACAGGCTGTCAAAAATACTCTGTAGGCCAGACAGTGGTGTGGTGGGTGAGGTGGTTGGATCCTACATGGCTAACTCTGCAGTTCAAATTCCAGATCTGGTGGCTTGAAAATCATGCCAGTTGCACGTGTGTGCATCCCTAAAAATCTTTCTGCCCCATTGAGTGAATGCACCCTACAGCAAAAACTTTAAAAATGCTCTGAAAAACTGTTGGTAATGTGTTGTTACTAAAAAACGAATCAATATTAAATTTCAAAAGTAGATGACAAGCTCTCCTGAAAAATTCTCTTCTGGGATTCAAATCTCTTCTAGGATTTCTCCATGTATTGCAAGGAAAGTGTACATATTCACTGAGTAATCTTTCAGTCAACAACGGGTGCATGTATGACAGAAATCCCGTAAGCACATAGGTCACACTGCACAGGATGGAGAGTTATACCATGGAGATTTGTGTAGGTATACTCTGTGCTGTTTGCATGACGATGAAACCGCCTAAAGGCTCGTTCCTATCACTAAGCAACCTGTGACTCTATTCCTTTCCAGACTGGCCTGAGAAGCTGTGCCCTGAGTCAGGGGTGGTTAGAGTGCACTTCTGGAAGGTGCACAAGAAAAACACACTGGGGTGGAGGAAGAAAACACTATAACTGCTACTCAATGTTTACTTGTCATGCTGTCCTTAGCTTCTTTTTTGTGTATGTTTTATCATGTACACACTACTTCAGTATAGTGGCATGTAATTTTAACATGCATATAAAATAATTCTTAATATGGAAACATTGTGTTTCAAAACTTTTTTACTGATCAAGGTGTCTGTTCAGAGGCGCCAGACAGAGACTGCTCTTCGGAAATACCAGTGCGTGCCTCTAAGCTGCTGAAATCACTAGAAATACAAAGCTCCCTGTTAGAACTTGAGGATCGTAACCGAAATTCTGAGCTCAGAATGGAACAACCTTGTTGTCCACAATGCCCGCCAGGTGTGGACGGAACTGAAGCAACACTATCAACAGCCTGGAGTCACGCTCCAGAATTCCAAGCCTCTGAATTATTTCAGTCAGTCCTGCCTTTTTTGAGCTCTAATGTAGTATGTAAATCTTTAAGAAAGTTTCCAGTTTAAAAAAAAATCCAGTACTCTACACAGGCTCATAAGCTTATGTTCTTTACCACATTTTGAAGGAAAAAAAAAAAAACTTTAACTGTCAAAATGTGGGGAAAAAAAATCAAACCTGTATTTTAACCTAAGAAGCTTACGGTTGATCTTTTGAAGGCCTCTAGATTCTGCAATTATTTATAATGTGTTTTTTTAATAAAAAACAAAACAAAACAAAAAATACTAAGTTTCTACCTTTGTTCAAACACATAAAATACGCCATGAAGAACATAAACTACAAAAGCACTGTGGCAAACAATTAGGGAAAAAAAAAAAAGGATTGAAGAAAGGACTGGGTCAGCTTGTGGTATGGTGGTTAAGGCACTAGATCCCACACGGCCGAATGCATGGTTCAAATCCCGGACCTGGCGTCTCAAAAAATATACCGGGCACGTGTGCATGTGTGTCCAAAATCTCAAGGGGAGAATGGAGGGAGGATGGTGATATCTCACTTTCCTTCTCTCTGTCTCTCTGGTGAGTGCACATGCCCAAGAGCAAAAAGAACTAAAAAAAAAAAGATTGCTCAGGTCGGAAATAAAATTTAAATTTCATATTTATTTTTAAAAATAAGCGTATGAAGTCAGCTGGAATGCCCGGAGCAGGTGCTTCCCGAAGTGAGGTCATGCTTACATTCACAGCGAGGAATAAGTATGTGACAAGCGGACCTCCCTGAAGGCGGCTGAGAGCCCCCCACTGCATTCCTACC